CAACCGTCATCTTGTACAATTAAAAATCAAGGAGTGTTCCAATCAATTTTAGCTGAAAGCTAGATGTGGTACTGAATGCTTGCCGGGGCTAAAAGAATAGGGAAGGTGTCGCATTTCCTCACTCACGCTCTCATACGATGCGCATCATTGGCGCATCGCCTTGTGCATTTCATTCCCGAAGCAAAAAATGCCTCCAACAGCTGTATAAATGCTTTTGAGGAAATTACCACAGGAAAAGTGGGCATACCAACACATTGTTCAAATGAGTGTACTGCACTTCTTCTTGTTCCAGCCCCAATACATTTCTTTCCAAAAAGGCGAGGACAAAATGCATAACCAAATCAAGGCCTTACCAAATGATGCGCAGTAAGTTCGTCCTAACTGAACCTACTTCTCTCAGTATATAACAATGCACTGAACCCTCTATGATGCAGTCCCTTTTAGCGCCATGGATTTGAATAGAATGTGGGTTGAGTTTAGCCGTTGGCGCAACTCTATGCAATAGAAGTTCCCTCAGGACCAGACAGAGTTTTCTGACGATGGATGTGTCATTTTGCGTAATTTTATCTGTGAAATTCTCACCTCCAAGTGCCATGACTCAGGCCCTCATTAGCGGTGAATGGCATTGGTAATCCCCATGTCACCACGATCAGGTGCTTTGGCATGCACAGGGGTGCGTGGGTGCGTGCGCGCATGCGTGATGGGGCATGTAAGACATGTGTCAACTGCGGTGACTCAAGGCGGCGACACCTGCGTCAGCATCAAAGCGACACGCCTGCATGTTACATGCATGATAGTGCCGCCTTTTTGTGCAAAGATGTCTTCTGCAGTGGGTTCTTTTTCTCACTTTAGCTCCCCTCCCCCAAAAGCTGACCATACTGACAAGCATGGCGAAAACGTAGTTGACCACGCATTTCTCTATCTAACTTCCAAATACAGCGTCGCTATGTGAACCACAACACACATTTGGCCATCATCCCATCGATTAAAGCTTTGACAAATTAATAGTTACATATAAGAGCTATAAATCAGGTTTGTGGTTGGTATGACTCATAGCCAAGAGGAAGAGCGTTTTTTAAACTGGCTGCTCCAAGTTCTCTATATACTAGTGCCTACCTAAATGGATTCAAAACTAACGATCAATTATAAGCATTTCAGCTAACGTTTTTATGTTGCAGAATTATCATTACCACCAACTCATTCCATGGGACCTCTGCTGTGCTGCCGTTACTTGTACGCTTGCATTATCCACTGGGGCACCAATACTTCGATACAG